CAAGGGCTCAAGTAGAAAGCAAATGTTTTGAGAATGATGATGGCAACAAATGTACAAATGTGCTTGACACAACGGATGTATGTATGGATTGTGATAAGGTTTTTATGAGCCCCCAATAAAATGCTTTATAAATAAATAAATAAATAAAGAGGGTCTGACTGGTTATAGCAAATAGGGTAGAGAAAGCAAAGGAAAGGAAAAAGAAAAAGTACCTTTACTGGGGAATCATATTTGAAAAACCCTGTATGTTTCATACGCTCATTTATACGTGACAATATTTTTTGCTTTTTTTTCATGTGATGTTCAGAGCAACCCTTCATATGGAACTAATCTCGCTCACTGCAAAGGTTAGTTCTTTAATATCAAACTGGCAAGTAAAACTTTCGAATTCACTCTTTAAGGCACCAGTGTTTACTAGGGGGTTTCAGACTGCTCTAAGAGTCTGGTGAAAGTTACTGACCTAATTTTTCCCATAAAAAGCAAAAATCTAAAGGAATTAGAGATGTCCTGAAGTCAGTTCATTAAATTATTTGACCCTTTTAGGGGTCCTATGGGTTGCAGGTTAATTTTTACATTAGATTAGCTCTAGAAATTACAAAAACTTTTGCTTATAATCATCAGGTAAATTGAAGATAAATAATATAGATATTTAGTTTTAGATGGGCGGGGGCAAGAGTTTGCCACCAGGCATTGGATATCCCTGATATGGGCGCTATTATCCCATCAGGAATAGACATAGACTATGGCACATCGTTTCACAATGAAGGCTGTAAGACCAAACCAAAACACTATGCACAAAGAGGGGTGAGCAAGTGTGTGTGGAAAAATTACCTTATCTTTTAACTCCATTTTTAGTAGAAGCAAAGAGAAAGAAAAGCAACAAGACCATAGCTAATGAGCCTAATGAAAACTTCCCGATCAGTTGTAATATGCTCTTGCAGTCACAAGCTCCGCTCATTTGGATACTGCCTCATCCTCCATTAAACCCGCCAGTCTTCCTCGACTGTTCCACAAACACAAGAACAGGTTAGGCGTCTCTTACCAGCTTGCTTAGGACACAGACACTTTTCTGAACAGTTTCTCTGGTGACATCTGCTTGTCTTACTTTCAAGGCCTATTATAAAAAACAGTCATCATTAGAGGGATTTCACAGTAAAGGATTCTGATTTTTTAAAATACAAATTTAGCAAGTTAATAGAAGAAATATGATGCATTTAGTTGAGAGAGCATGCAGGAAATGGAACGCACAGGTACCAGTGTGAGCACTCAGGGGCAGAATCTGGGAGGCACCGGCACTGTCGTGGTGAAGATAATGGCTTGTTCCCCCCAGTTATCTTAAATTGATTGTTCCATGTCAAGGAACAATCTAGAAGAGTGTTCCAGTATTACATATCCCACTTTATTTATTTAGAAAGAAAAGAAAAATCTCAGAATTTTTTTTTCTCCATGCCCCTCCCCGCTTCTCAGAATTTTATATTTAGAAAAACAGCCCTTTGGGAGGACAAAGATCTTGTTTAAGTTTGATGAAAACCAATTATCCCTTTTCCACTAAAAAATGATTATTAACACTTTCACAAGGCTTAAAATTGCAGGAAGGTGCATGGGTTCCTTAAGCCCAGTGGTTCTCAATCTTCCTAATGCCGTGACCCTTTAATATAATTCCTCATGTTGTGGTGACCCCCAATCATGAAATTGTTTTCGTTGCTACTTCATAACTGTCATTTTGCTACTGTTATGAATCATAATGTAAATATCTGATATGCATGATATTTTCAGTTACAAATTGAACATAATTGAAGCATAGTGATTAATGACATAAACAACATATAACTATATATTATTTAATATTATATATTGTGAAATATTTATTTCTAATTACAAATAAATGAAATTTTGTCTTGAAGCATAGTATATATGGGTAACAGTCTTCACGTGGTGTACTCATATGTGGGTGTATTTGCATGTGGGCGGACCTGCCTGGAGACGGATAGAGGAGCAGTGTCTCGGTTTCTAAGACCATCGGAAATACGTGTTTTCCGATGGTCTTAGGTGACCCCTGTGAAAGGGTCGTTCAACCCCTCAATGGGGTCGCGACCCACAGGTTGAGAACCACTGTTCTAGGTGATCCATTGTGCAGCTAAGGTAGAGAATCACTGCTTTAGAGTATTAATGATCTCATGAGAAGAAATTTTACTCATCAAGATTGTTCCCACCAAAATAATTACACCAATTGACGAACTGTCATCCAAATATCAGTCTCTACAACCTTGAGACCGTAACAACTAGATGGTGCCCAGCTACCACTACCAACTGCTCTGAAAAGGATCACAATATAAGGTCCTTGACAGAGTTCGAGAAACTGTGAAACAAAACTCAAAATCTTAAAATACCAGGCTTACTGGTTGAGTAGATACTGGTGAGACCCCTTATGGCCCTTACGCTTTATGTCTAGAACTGAACTTACCTGTACGTTAGAATAATCAACTATTTAAGATCAAAAGGGCAACATTTATCCAAAGACTAAGTTCAGAAGACTGGGAAAGGAGGAGGAAGGGATGCAGGAGGCACAGGGAAGAAGTGGGTAAGTGTGGTACATTGAGCAGATTGCAATGTGTAAGTTGAATCGATTTGTATGAGTTACTGAATGTAAAACTGTGACCTGCTCTTTCAACTTTCTTCTAAGTCAAAATAGAAAGTTAAAAAAAAAAGAAAACTGTTCCCATTAGAAAAAAACAGTGCTGCTCAAGAGCTAACCAAGAAAGCTAGGACTACCGATCTTGCTTTATTTTTATTTATTTATTTTACTTTCCATTCTTGGTTTATATATACAAGTATCATAAAACTTTATAGGCAATTAAGGTAACGTGACTTGTTGGAAGCTACTGTATGTAATTTCACTATTTCCAAAATGATTTTTTAAAAAACACAGTACATGTGGTTGTGTGTGCCATGCCAGTACTGGCTCAGTGACTCCGGGTCACAGAGGACTGCCCTACGGGTTTCTTAGGCTGTGATCTTTACAGGAGCAGATTGCCAGGCCCTGCCTCACTGGGAGTCACTGGTGGATTTGAACTGCGGACCCTCTGGTTCGCTGTTGCACTGTCAGCGCTCCTTCTCAGCACACCTGCTTCTCCACTGCTTTAAGTTATGAACTGAGTGCGTTTCTGGAACTAGGGCAGTAAAGGAAACCAGAGTTGAGTATTTTGGAGACAAATGGATAATTTAAGTATCACTACCTAAAAACAATGTGTAAAATATTACATGAAATGCATATAATCATATTCACCAATGTCAACTTATAGAAACACTTCCATGTGAATAAGTAGGGCTTTGGGAAAAACAGCAACAAATGATTTATAAAATCTTAAAACGTTATCATGGGCACCACATGAAAAATACTGTCTCCCCAATTATATATTTTGAGTGGTCACTCACTATGAGAGAATTGTTTGTTTTTACTTGTAAACTCACCATAACCACACCTTGGAAGGAGGCCTGGCGGCATTGTTGGGCAAGTGCGGGAATGCTACCAGCAAGGTCAGTGACTTAAGCTCACCAGTTGCTGTGAGGGCAGAAAGATGAGGCTGCCTCCTACTATAAAGATTTACAGCATTGGAAACTCTGTGCTAAGTTCTCAAATTCATTTGGCCTGCCAACCTCTTTAGATAGCACCCCCTTAAAAATTTTTGTACTATAGTCCATAATCTAGGATAAAATGTAAGTACCGTATATACTTGTGTATAAGCTGAGTTTTTCCAGCACATTTTTTATGCTGTTTTTGTGGTAAAATTAGGTGCCTTGGCTGATATTTGGGTCAGCTTAATCTTGAGTATATACGGCATCTGCTTTTCTGCTTTTACAGCAACCCCCTCACCCCACCCCATTGCTCCAGGACCCCCAGAGGATGGCATCACCCACTTTGAGAAACGCTGCCATATACGGTCACTGGGGGTCCAGAGCGACTCCATGGCAGTGGGTTTGGTTTGCTTTGGGATTTCCCATACCTTGGCTTCAATTTGTCGATAGCAAGAGATACCGTATACTGTGGCTCCATTTCCATTTTTGGGTGGCAAGTGAAAATACACAGTATCTAAAAGATACAGACACATGTTAAGTACTGAGATAACTCTTACTAATAAACCATGAAATTAGAAGTTATTATAAATACGTTAGTCATTAAGGCAAAAAATGATGGTGTAATAAACAAGAAATCTATGCCACACTTATTTCCCGCATCCAACCACTGGTTTCTTAGAATTTTTTTCACTGCCTTCCAATGTACACTTCCCAAAAAGAGTCTAAGAGGCTGAATTATATGAGTTGAACTCAGACTACTATCACTTCCTCCAGAGATTATTGTTCTAGATTTTTAAAGTAGGGTCATAAAAGCCAAAGTAACGCAAGAACCTTAAATGGATCCAAAAAATTCAAGGGTCACTTAGGGGAATCTGAACAGCGTGTGGATGTGAGGTGACTATGGAATTGCTGCTCAACCTCTCAGGTGTCATAGTGATATCAGAAGTCTCCCTGGAGACTGACCTTACTGCCAGGACATGCACACTTTAAGCGTTTACAGGGACAGCGTCATGTTTGCAAATGATTTTCAGTAGTTGAGGGGGAAAAACCCAAACTACACATACTCAGATAAAACGAAACAGATCTGTAAAAAAGAAAACTGTAGAATATTCACTGTACGGGTTTTTCCCCCTGCACGGCACTCCTCTGAAAGTCCTCAAAAAGCATGACTGGTTACCTCCAAACAAGTAGTTTAAGTAGTTAATACATTTTCACAAGTAAACCTTTCATTCACCAAAGCACACAGAATCTAAATCAGCTTGGCAACTTAGATGATGTATTTTATTATCTATATGTTGTATATATTATAATCTAATTGCTCCACTCTCTCCTTACACACCTTCTTGGTAGTTGTGAGCGCCATCTGGTAAGGCAAGGAAAGGCAAATACTTCCACTCTTCAGGTAGAGCGTGGCTGTCATGTCCATCTCCTGGAATCAGGGGCGGGTAGGAGAATTCAACCTAAAATGGTAAGGAATGTTAGCCAAAAGGTTGCTGACCAAAGGGAGCCCTGAGAATGATTTTCGTCCCTGAGTGACAGGAGTGGGTTTATAAGCTTCATGTGTTGATGTCACTAGACATTACTGGTAAGTCTTAGCCATAGAACAAAACAAAACCTCTCTGCCTTCCCACAGGGGGCACAAAATGGAGTAAACGAAGAATGACTTAAAACCTTTCCTCCTTTCTGATTTACAGGTTGTGTGCTTTAGACGAGTTGGGGATGGGGGTGCTAGTGGTGGTATGGTGGTGTCTGGATTCAGATTTTGGAGAACTGAAGCTGTGGAGTCCTGAGAAAAACCAACCTACGAATGAATGAGTAGAAGAGGTCCAACAAAGGGGCCAGCGAAGTCAAGTCGAGATGTAGGTTTGCTCTGCATGAAGTGGCTCTCTTGCTTCCAACACTTGTAGCTGTGAGCTTAGGGTTTCAACAAAGTTGTTAGGGGAAGGCTGAACCAGCACTACAGGTGATTTTAAGAAATGAGCTTGAACTTTCCGTGAAGTTAATATGATTCATTTCTATCATTCCCTGCATTTATTAGCTTTTTTGGTTTCTACTTCTTGTTATTTTAATGAAAAATTTGAAGAAGAAAACAATTACATAGATGGGGTTTAGGTTACCAAGTTGATCAATAAATTTAAGGTGGTTTATGCTTTGTTTTTCTTTCAGAATGTATCTAAGCAGGAATTTGTATTTTCATTAGTAATATATACTTTAAAGTAGGGACAAACATAAGAAATAAGAAGTAAGCTTAACAGAAGATATGGGTGCTATAGCAAAGTGTGGTGAAGAAATTAGGTGGTCCCCGGCCATCAGACTGAATAGCAACTGGGCCTTTAAAGGATTGCTTTCAAACCAGCAGCCATCTAAATGAGATGTCAACTAACTCCACATGGAAGAAGCACTCCAATATCCGTAACCCAAGGGTTATAAATTATATAATCCAAATCCAAAAGAAGGAATGGTATTCAGAGCTTAACACGGAAGGCTATAGATGACAGTGGAAGCCTGAAATACATTTCTGAGATTTACACAGGGAGTAAGCCTCCAGTGATTTCCCTCTAACTATAACTGAGGGATGGGAATAAACTGATTACCAGACAGGGAGTATTGGAGAGATGACTATAATAGATTAAAATGATAAATCTGACTTGAACGGTTAAAACTTTGTCACGTGATCTCCCCTCTGATGCACTTTGGACTTGATCTGGTTTTTAAAATTTTTGTGTTACTTTACTATTCTTTTTGGTATTTTGTGAGTAGCATTCTTGAATCTTTGCTCTGTATTTTTCTGGTTTTTTTTTTTTTTATATGAAATTCAGGATTGATGAACCTACAGAGACAGCAACTAGAAGAAAAGCCCCTGGGGGTCCGGTGAAGAAGTAAGGGGTAGCTGATATTAAGGAGTTCAAAAAGGAAGAGAATCTTTTGAAACTGATACTGGTAGCAATTGTACAATACTGCTTGATGTGACTGAACTATGGAATGGTAAGATGTCTGGATTGGTTCCTAATAAAATGGTTTTGAAAAAAAAGCAGCATATTTATATCCCATCTGTAATGAAGAAAGATGTGATAGTGGCTCACTTGCTCCCTCCCATTTCAACAGAACCAAGTTGCCACCTGAGTCACAAAGCACCTTTAAGGGAAAGCAGAAGAGTTACCAACAGAGATTTAATGCAGGTTATGCTGGTGATGCAGTAGGATAAGTGTTGGGCTGTTAACTCCAAGGTTGGAGGTTTGAACCTACCAGGTGTTCTAAAGATGAGACAGTCTGCTCCCATGAGGATTTACAGTCTCAGAAACTATGGGACAGGTCTACTCGGTCCCACAGGGCTGCTACACGTGTGGATCAACTGGACGACCGTGTGTTTACACTAAGTGTGTGGGATTTGTTACAAGAGCAGTAGAAAACTCACACATACTACTAAATTAAAAAACAAGCAAAATATCAGCAAACTGAAAGGAAAAACCCCGTCAAATTTACTGCCATTGAATCGATTCTGATTCATAGTGACTCTGCATGCCAGGGTAGACTGCCCCTGTGGGTTCCCTAGAATGCATTTTTTAACAGAACAGAAAGCCTCATCTTTCTCCCATAGAACAGTTGAGTTTTGAACTGACTTCAAGGTTAGCAGCCCAATGCGTAACCCACTAGTGCTAGATAACATCTTATCAATTTCATGATTCTATTTATGCAAAAAATTTAGTTACACACATGCTTGAAAAACAAACAAGCAAACAAACAAACTTAGGGGGACAGACAACAAAAAAGTGGGTGAAGGAAGACATCAATCAGTGTAAGACATGAAAAAACAATAATAATTTATAAATTATCAAGGGTTCTTGAGGGAGGGAGGGGAAAAATTAGATGAAACCAAGGGCTCAAGTAGAAAGAAAGTGTTTTGTAAATGATAATGTCAACATATGCACAAATGTGCTCGACACAATGGATGTATGTATGGATTGTGATAAGACCTGTTCAAGCCCCCAATAAAATGATTTTAAAAAAGCAAACCCAAACTTAACGGAGGTTTTATTCCTGGAGAGAAGAATAGGTCTCATACAGAAAAAGAGAATAATCTGGTAAGCAAGCCCTTTTTCAATCTTCCTTTTGTTTAGAAAATCTCAAATTGACGAGAAGTTCAGAGAGTACACACATCTGTATAGCCTTCATCTATATTCACCAACTGCTAACTTCTTGCCACATCTGCTTTACTATTACTTGAGCATACAAAACAGTCTTTGCGAACCTTTTGATAGCAAATTGAGACATTATCACATATGCTTTACTTTTAATTAAGTTGGTATTTACTTTTAAATGGATCCATATTTCCTTTGGAATTAAAAAAAAAAGACAAGACAACTATAAACAATCCCTAACCTCTCAAGGAGATCTTATTTCCATCCAACCCTCTTGGAGGCAAAGGGAGGTATAAAAATCTATCTTCTGAATGAAGGTTTAGTAAATAAATTACCAGTGACCCGAAGTTTACTTAATTAATGCCTGATGTTGTTATATTTAATATATTCTCTGTATTCCCAACTCTATTGAAGAAAGGCAATCGGTTCTGAGCAACTGTAGTTGGAAGCCCAAATGCAGCTGACCCATAAAAGTGCTTTATGTAGAAACAAGTGCATATAACACACTCCAAGAATGTTATGACTAATGCTTATGGCCCTCCTGGGCTGATTTGGGCCCTGAGTATTTTGCAAGTCTGGAACTCCAACAATCAACTTTTGGAACACAATTCATTCACAAATTCTAGAATGCCTATCCTGTTAGCAGTTTTTTAGAGTTCCTTTGCTACCACCAAATTCTTGCATTTGTCAACTGCTAAACTGGTTAATTAAGTTTAAAAAAGTTCATGTAGGCTTCTTCCTATGTCTATGTATAAAACTCAAAATTCCAAATTCACTGACATAAATAATTTTAATAGTAATATAGCATTATTTCCTTGTTTAATTAAGTCTAAATTATCTAAAATTTAATGTCTCTAGTTTTAAAAAACAACAGTATAAACTTTTCAGTACTATTCAAATGGGGGGGGGTCAGCTATTTCCAAATTGAAAAGGTTTTTCTATCTTAAATATTCTTCATATTTTGAATACTAACCATACTTTACATCCTTCCTTTCTATATGTCCAAAATAGTCCAAACACTGAATTTATTATATAGAGGTTTCTACTCCTGTAAAGAGTTAGTCTG